CTACCACTGTTAACCACTCGGGGGGAGATCTGTGTAGGAGACCCTGGATAGAGAGGGAGAGCAATGTGGAACAAAACTCAAAATCATTTAAAAAAAGGGAGCAGGTTTGCTGGTCTGATAGAGCCTGCTGGAGCCCCCTGAGACTATGGCCCCTAGCTGCTCTTCAGGTCTGGAACTGAACCTACTCCTGTGGCTTCCAGCCAAACAAAAGACAGGCATAAGAGCTGAACATTTATATTAGGTAGACACACTCCTTGGAGGAAACAATCATGGGAGAATAGAAGGGCTGTGTTTGCACAGGGAGACAGCTGGGCGGGGGGCAGGAGTACATGGGAGGGAAGGACACAGGGAAGAGGTGGCTATGAGGAGGAAGTAGGAGGAGAGCTGTTGCATTGTGGGAGATTAAAGTCAATGTCATGAGACAAAGTGTATGTGAGCTGCTGTATGGAAAATGAATTTACTCTGTAAACTTTCACCCAAATCACAATTAAAAAAAAAAAAAGTCATGCTCAGAAGTTTGGCCTTGATCCTGGAAGTAATGGAGGCCTATCAGTCAGGGTTTTTGTGGTTTGCTGAGACTCTGTGACCTGAGGCAACTCAAAGCCTTGAGTTCATCATTGAGCAGACCTCCCAGGCGGTTCCGCAGGTTGTCCATCCAAAGAAACAAAAAGTCAAGTTGATTCCCACTCATTGTGACCCCATGTGTTACAGACTATAACTGCTCCATAGGGTTTTCTTGGCTGTAATCTTAACAAATTCCTTGATTCATCCAGGAATGATTTATAACAGTGACAGTGAGGTTGGTACAGGACCAGGCAGTGTTTCATTCTGTTGTACATGGGGTTGCTATGGGTCGGAACTGACTTGACCGCACCTAACAACAACAATCTTAACAGAAGCAGATTGACAAGCCTTTCCTCTGAATACCACTGGGTGGGTTCAAACCACCAACCTTCAGGTTAGTGGTCAATTGCAGTTTGTGCCACCTTTGGGCAATCCCACTTCCATAGTGATACTGCCTCAGAAACCCAAGGAGGGGTTGCTATGAGTCGGGGCCAACTCGACGGCAAATAACAACAACAACAACAAGGGACCCTAGTGGTGCAGTAGTTAAGCGCTCAACTGCTAACTTTGCAGTTCGAATTCACCAGCCACTCCTGGGGAGAAAGATGAGGCAGTCTGCTTCCACAAAGATTACACCCTTGATGTAAATGTGGAAGCATTATGTTGGCAAATGTCTTGTGTATGTTTTTACTACAATAAAAGTTAAAAAAAAAGAAGACAGTTACAGCCTTGGAAACCCCATGGGGCAGTTCTACTCTGCCCTATAGGGTCACTATGAGTCGTAATCGAGTTGACTGCAACAGGTTTGGTTTTGTTTTGGTAGGGACCTGGCCATCCATCAGGGGCTCCAAAATCCCTGGGCAGGCTGGGAAAATCTTCTGGATGGCCAGTGAGGCCTACAGTCCTGAAGGCAAAAACCTCAACTTCACCCTCTCCCCATGCCAGCAGGTCTAGAGGCCAGTACTCTGATATCAGGCCCCACAGCAACCCTGTAGGGAAAGCAGGTATCCTGGTTCCAACCAGATGGGAAGAGGCATCTCATAGCCCCCCTCCCAACCCTGAGAAGAAGTGCTAGGGAAAGTATAACCTCCCCTCAGGCCCAGAGGCACTTCTTTCCTAGACTGTAGACTAGGAGCAAAAAGTTAACCCCCTCCCAAGTGCCTCTCCACCTCTGCCACCCACTCACCCCTCCAGGGCCCTGGCAGGGTCTGTGCCCTGGTCAGGATAGCTAGCAGCCCTAGCTCTGTACGCTGTGTGCTTCCACCCCCACCCTCCCTCTGTACTTAAGAGGCAAGAAGAGGAGCCCAAGCTGGGGGTGGAGCCTCAGAGAAAAGAGGGTCACAAATCCAAAGAAATATAAAGGGCCTTGGAGGTCCCAGCCAGAGACCCTTTGCGGAGCCATTCTGTAGCTGCCAAGCACCATGGTAATGTCTGGAGGCTAAGTCTTGGGCCCTGTCAGCCATATCCTCCAGGAGATTGGGGATGAAGCTAGCACCAAGGGCCCTCCACAGGCCCCCAAAGGGCATGGAGGAAGGAGGGTGGGGGAGCCCTCTCTGCCTGCCTGATGACCTGGAGCCAGGACTTCCTGCTCTGCTTGGAGCGCCTGGTCAAGACAGGATTAAGGGTCTCAGGGGCTCTGGGGTATTAATGGGCATCATATTGTGTGAATTGCTATGTGTGCCTTCTCTGCGCATCCCTGGGTGTGCATGCATGTGGGAACCCCAGGCTTGCATTCCTGTTTGCAACCATATTATTCATTCATTTTAACAGGTATTACTAAGCAACTGGGGAGCTCTGGTAGCATAGTGCCTAAGGCACTTGCCTGCTAACCAGAAGGCTGGTGGTTCAAACCCACCGGACACTCCTCGGAAGGAAGGTTGGGCAATCTACTTCCGTAGTGATACTGCCTTGGAAACCCAAGGAGGGGTCACTATGAGTTGGGTACGACTCGATGGCACATAGGAACAACACTAAGCACCTATGAAGTGTCAGCCACTGTTTTGGGTGCCTGTGATGCATCTTTGGGCAAAACAGACAAAGAGCCCAGCCTTTGTGGTGCTTACACTGAGGGAGGGGATGTCGCTAGGGAAGGATGCAAACAATAACTTTAATAAATAAGTACAGAATATAGTAGGTTAGAGGGTGATCAGTGAATGGGAGAAAAAGTGGAGCAGGGTAAGAGGATGGCCTGCAATTTTAAATAGGGGTAGCATCCATTTAGAAGGTGAATTTTGAGTTTATACCTGAAGAAAGTCGATATCTAGCGAAGAGTCTTCCAGGCAGGGAGAACAGCATGTTCCGCGTTCTGGAGGAACAAGGAGGCAGAGTGGCTGGAGTGGAGTGAGAGCAGGGGGAGTTGCGGGAGAGGTGCGGTTAGAGGGCAGACCACATGAGACCTTAGGTTTCAGTAACAGTTCTGTGTGTCCATCTCAGGATGCAACCCCCCGCGCCGTGTGTTCCCGTTTACGTGGGTGCTTTGTGTGCATCATTGTGCATGCTTAGGTGGGCACCATTCCACCTGGGTACGTGGGTGTCCCCCGTGGCGCTCGTGCACCTAAGTTATGTCCCAGGTAAGTTCCTCTACCTGAGTGTTTCCCAGGCGTCGCTAGACCGCCCCGCGGCTCTGTCCCGCCCTCTCCAGACTCCGGCTCTGCCTTACGCATGCGCATTGGTCCTGGTCTACCTGGTACCGCTTCTCCAGCGGCCCGAGGGCGCCCTAGGTGAGGATCTGCAATTGACAAGGCCCTACAGGCCCAGAGTCGCCCGATGGCTGACGAACTTTGGCCAGCTTAACAAGTACGTGGAGAAGCTCTTCAACAGCAGGTGGGTCAGCGGAGGGTGAGAGGGGGAAAGGAAGGAAGGGGTTAGGGGAGGAAACGGATCCCCCCCACACGCACGTGCACCGCGGCCCTGTGACCATTGCAAGGCGTGCCCCTCAGCTTGAAGTCTAAGAATACCAAGAAAGATGATAAAAACGTCGAGAAACCCACGAACACCACGAAGCCACCACCACCAAACGCCAAGGAACCCCAACCACCCATTCCTCTCTGGGCCCCAGGTAGGAGAGCCCAATCATCACCAGGACCAAGTCAGGGGCCTCGGAGCAAGTAGATTGATGGGAGGGAGAGGAAGCCCCACAGGGATACCAGGACCTCCCTCCTCCAGGCTGGGTCTTGACTCCACATTTCTGACCCAGGTCTCCCTGCAGCTAGCTGACCCCTTTTTATCCTCAGAGGTGGTGCCTCAACTCCCCACCCCCCAGTAAGAACAATAAAAACAAAACCTGTTGCTGGTGTGACTATTGTGGACATTGGCCTGGAGGGGACCTGCCCTCAAGTGGGAAAGGGGACCTGGAGTTCTTTCTGTGGGAGAAAAGACCTCAGCTGCCTGGGGGTCTTCCCTGCCTCCTCCGCCCCAACCCACCCACCTTCCTCACCTTCCTCACCTACCCCACAGTGGGGGTGGGGACTCTGAGCACAGAGAGAGCTGAGGTCAGAGAAGCAAGTTCCACCAACCTTTAGGGAACCTTGTTTGCCCCGAGCAAGATCCCAATTCCTGTCCCTGGGAAGTGTCTGCACTCTCCCTCGACTCACAACCCATCCCCTTAACCACCAGAGAAAATGTTAGGTTTTCAGTTTCTGTCATCTAAACTCAAGCTTTTTGCTGAAGCTGGCCCCCACTCAGACACCCCCTTGGATTTAAGAATCAGCTGAGCCATGCATTTGCATAGCAGTTGGGTCCTCTTGAGGCTTTTTAGGGTCTGGTTCCATATTCAGGGCATTTGCACACACCAGATAGAGCCAAGACTTGAGGAACAACACAACCATGGTATCATTGCCATGGAGTCAGCCTGCGGTGCTAAGCCCACCTCATTCACCAAACCCACAAGCCCCATCCCTTCAGGCAGAATAGGAGGGTAGGGGACAGAAGCCATCTCAGGAGCCAGGCTCTAATCCTCTGACTTCACTCAACCCTCCAGACCCTGCTATCTGCAGGGGCTCCATATTCCTGCCAGTCACTGTCCCCACCTCTGGCTGTGCTTCAGCCAGGCGCTATGCTGCCCATAAGCTATGCCCTGCTGAAAACAGCACATGGTGTGCTGAGACCTTTCAGGAGGAGGGCAGCTCTGATGCCACCAGAGTCATTGCTCTGAGCTGAGCCGTCTTCTTTGCCTCCATACCAAGGAGGCATACCAAGGACATGTTAGTATAAATTGGTACTTGCACCAGACAGTTTTAAAGGGAGGAGCCATAACCTTAGATAGGGAGGGCATAGAAAGACATTGGTAGGGGTCTGCTAGGGGCAGCGCTGTCATGGGGCTGATAATCTAGATTTAATCTTTAATAATCGAGCTGCTGAAATGGGAAGATTCAAGTTCAAGACTGCCGCTTCACTGATGGTGACCTTGGGGGAGGCCGCTGCCTCCCTCGGAGCCATCACTTGCCCTCTGAACTGGAGAGGTGCTCGGAATGGCTCTGACAATCCTGCAGATGCTCCGGATCATTTATACCCCCTTCTCCTCCTGGCTTTCTCTCACTCACGCTTGTGCACTTGGCCTGTCCTGACTCCACCAGGGATCTACAGAGACACACAGACAGGCTATGACTGATTTGCTTTATTTAGCCAGTTGGGGAGCAGGGAGCAAGCTTTGGCCAGAACCAAGGTGCAAAGTAGGGAGCTGGGCGGCGCTGCCCAGAGAGTCGGAGGAGGCAGGTGGTGGCTTTACAAGTCCATCGGGCTGAACACTCTGTAAAGAGAGGGCAGAACATGCGAGGTGGGTGCCTAGTCCTCAGAACAGCCCTGGGCCCCTGTTCTCCCCACCTTTTCGAGCCCGAATCCAGTCCTTCCTCCACCCCCACCCCCATTTCCACCCCGGCTTCAGCACCAAGCAGACAGTAAAGAGAATCAAACTTACCTGGAGGCAGCTGCATGAGGGGTGCCCCCCTGCAGGAAGTCCAGTGTGTCCTCCTTGTCTCTTTTCCCATACCTGGCAAGGGAAAGGCAGCTGCAGCACTGTGCCCAGGTGCCAGCTCACCTGCCTCATACCTGCCTCTAGCCACCATCCCATCCAGGAAGCATGGGCCCAGGCCTGGCTTCAGGAGAGATGCTTTTGTGCCCCAGAGCAGGCAGTCATGGAAGGGCTGGGATGTGGAGTGAGCCCAAGGTCCCAGGGCCTGGGATATCTTCCCTCTCTTACATACATACCTAGGTCTGGTCAGCATGTTGATATATCTGCGAAGCTCAGCTGCGTACTGGGCCATCTGCTCTGGGGTGGCGTTGTCCCCTGGGTACACTGGCTCCAGCGGTGCTCCCCAGGCTCCCTTCGGTGGCTGTAGCAACAGAGCCACACAGGTGGACAGAAGCAGCAGGGACAGGCAGCGGAATGCAGCAGCCATCTGAAAAGCAAGGGGGATGGGGCTTAGCCCAGAGTGCAGACTCCCAGTACCCAAGGACCAGGGCCCACCTGCCCAGCCCTTAGCCCATCACCCATTTCCCTACATGGGGGACAAGTACAGGAGCAAAGCCCACCCCACCTCCTATACACCACCCTGAGGATATGGACAGGCCTTCTGTGAGCAGCCCAGCTGGTGCCTAAGCCAAGTGAAAAATGTGGTAGAGAAGGTACCTGGGGGACCTGGGGCAGGAGGTACAGGACTCCTGACACCCAGGGTCTGATGGCTCTGAGAAGGCAGGTTGGGGAGGAATGGGAGGAAAGGGTGAAAAGCTGGCGGGAAGTTGGGGCACTCCGGCTCACACACAGGGTGGGGAGTCAAAGAATGAACTTGTGGACCAAGGACAGAAATCCATGGGCTTGTTGATCCAATGCTGCCCCCAGTACATCCCCCAGAGGGCCATGCTGACACAGGCCCTGGAAGAAACTATTGCCCATGTCATTCGAGGCAGACTGGCACAGTCTCACACACAGATCCCAGTCACTGACAAGGCCCCAGTCCCATGGTTCCACAGCCACAAGCTCCTTTCCTGCACACATACTCTGTTTTCTCCTCAGCAGACTGTTTTTCCAGCATGACAGTTTCATACAGATATACAGCCAGAGGCCCCCAACCCTGCAAAGCAAAAACTCCTTCCCACCAGCACAGGCCCAGCCCCAGCGGTCCCCACCAAGCCTGGCAGGCCAAGCCCCCTTACCCTGAGTCCTGGGCAAGCAGGCGCTGGACTGAACGGACACCTGCCTCAGGCCAGATGGGTCTCCCCTGCCCTTGACTGTGCCCCTTTATACTCTTGATCCCCCCCCCTCCACACACACACACATACACGGAGTCCCTGCCTCCTATCAGCCTCTCTCACTCCCAGCCCTCACCCTCTCTCCACCCCCTCCTCTGGTTTCCCTGGTACCTGTAGCACCAGGGCAGGAGGCAGGTGACGTGACTTGTTGTGGGGCTAACAGCATGATACTAGACCTTGATAAAGTCTCCTGTGGCTCCTATTCCTGATGCCCCTGCCTCCTTTAGGCACCAGAACAGACTTGGTTCAAGAAGGCTTGGGTTCTAGGACTTCAGGACACCCAAAAGATTCTGGTCCCAGGCCTCCAAAAGCCCCTTGTCCTCCCAAGGATTAAACCAAACCATCAAATGGATTCCCTGAGGGCAGAAAGTCAGAGCTGTACTTCTGAGACCTCAGAGATGAAGGTTGGAGACTCAGGTCTGCCTTTCCAATTTGGGATTAGAACAAGGTAGGAGCAAGTAGAGACCCTGGGTCCATAGGCAATGCAGAGAGGGGTGTGGACCCAGACAGAGAGAAGCCCAGCTGCCCGGTGTTTAGGATGGAGAATGATAAGTGAAGTACCTGATTTTAGGGGAAAGTGGCTGCTAATTTCTGGTTGCTCTTTCTCCTCCTCTCCAGACATTTCCAGCACCCCATTCCCAGGGGCGTGATAAAACTCAGCATCATTTATAAAACCTCAAAATTTCAAAATGCTCCCAACTCTGTCACCTCACTGAACCCCCACTTTACAGATGTGGAAACAGAGGCTCAGGACATTCAGCTAATCAGAGGGAGATCCAGGGTTTGAAACAAAGTTGAACTCCAAAACCTACACTTGTTGTTTCTGAGCGGAGCCATCAAAGTATAATTATAATTTCTCAATCTGGAGCTGAGAGATCTCAGAGAGGTGAAGACCCTTGCCCAAGATCACACAGCTGTCCAGGACTCAAATTCTGGCCTAGAATGCCAGCTTCACCAATCCCAATCCCCCAGTAGTCCCTCAATCTCTCTCCCTTGTTCAATGTCTCTTCCAGCTCCTCTCCCACCTCAGGCCCTGGAGCAGTAACTGGCTCTATATGAATGACCCATCAATGCCAGAGGAGGGAATAAAGGGGACCTCCCATTCCTGAGGTCCTGCTGTCCCAGATCAGAACACCAGTAACTATGTGTGGGTGGGTGGGGATATGTTTGGGCTAGAGGTCAGACAGGTGTAGGTCCATTGACCAGCTGTGTAAGCCTAGGTGAGTAATGTCGTTAACCCTTCTGAGCCTCCATTTTCCTCTCTGTGAAATGGTCGCTTCAGCCCAAATAAAGAAAGGCTCAGTAATAGTGTCCTGCCTTGTTCCTCTCAATTCTGATTTCTGATTGCAAGAACAACAATGATGTTTCACCAAAAACCAACATACATTCCACAAAGCAAATATAAAGGTCATTCTGTCTCAGTTCTGGCCCTTCTCTGGACCTTGGTTTCCCACCTTTTAAAACACAGGTGATGAACTAGTAGTGGCTGGTTCTAGGCAGAGCTCTAATGAAGCTGGCAGAGGCTGCAGTGTACCACCAGGGGGCGCTCCCACAGGACTGTTCCCCATTGAGATTTGCCCTGGCCACTGACCACATCAAGACCAAGCCCCAGCAAACAGACAGTAGATGTGGGGATTGACACAGATGCTGGGGCCACAGGCAGGGACTCAGGGGGGCTGCAGGGGACCTGGAGGCAGGTGGGATCCCCAGGTCAGGGGAGGTGGTGGTGGGGCCCAGTCTCCATATAAGTGGCCAGAGCCCCCCTATGTGGGCTTGACTTGGGCCCAAGAGAATGGAACAAGGAGCCCAAAGTATATGTTGTAGGAGGTTGTCACAGCCATCCACAGTCCTAATTGCCCCGTATCCACTCTCCTTCCTTCGTAAAAGAGCTTGAGATGAGCACATGCCGCTCACCTAGTGACATCTTCCAGGTGATCCCAGCAATTAGGTGGGGCCATTTTCTGAGTTTTAACCAATGAGATGAGAGTTGAAGTGTTTTATTCCATTCTGTTTAAGAATTGGGCATGCCCTCCTCAGGCTGAAGGTACTTTCCAAAGACAGCCACCAAAAAAACCTATCCCACATGTTTTTCTACATTGGATCCAAGTCCCCTCCTCTTAACTGGGTCTGTGGCTGTTTTGACCAATAGATCCTGGTGGCAGATGCTATGTGACTCCTGAAGCTAAGTCATACAAGGTAGTGCTGCTTCCTCTGGTTCTCCGGGGATGCTTTGGCAGGGGGACTGTTATGTACGAAGTCCCTGCACACAAGATCATTATGAGGGAGAGACCATATGTAAGTGCTCTGGTCCACAACCGCAGCTGAGTTCCCAGCCAACTGCCAGGTCTGTTGGAGCCATCTTGGGCATGAGGCCATGGGAGCCTAGAAAGCCCCAGCAGCCTCTCACTATAACCATAACAGAGAACCGCCCAGTCAAGCCCTTCCCAATTTCCTGATTCACAAAATCACTAGCGAAATAAAAAGGTTGTTTTAAGCAGCTACGTATGTTTGGGGTCGCTATGAGTCGGGCCCGACTCGACGGCACATAACAACAGATAATAACATGTTTGGGGATAATTCATTACATAGCATAATAACCAAACCACTTCCTCCTTCCCCTTCCCTCTTTTTCCCACTGGCTGGAACGCAGATGTGATGACGGTGGACCATCTTCGACCATGTGGATGAGAAGCTGGAGAGCCACAAAACAGCCCCAACCCAGTGCCACTAGCATTTTATGAGAGAAATAATCATCTAACTTGCTTAAGCTACTGTTAATTCCTTCTGTTTAAATAAAAGCCAAATCAATATCCTAAGTAAAGCAATGTTTGTAAAGCATATAGTCCAGAGTCAGGCACAAACTCACTGCCATTGAGTCTATTCCAACTCATAGCACCCTTCCAGATCAGAGTGGAACTGCCCCATAGGCTTTCCAAGGCTGTAAATCTTTATGGAAGCAGACTACCTCATCTGTCTCCCAGGGAGCATGCTGGTGGGTTCAAATTGCTGACCTTTCCATTACCAGCCCAATGCTTAACCACTGTGCCACCAGGGCTGCTTCTCAGGCATATATGTTTTTCAAAATGTTGCTACTGTTATTTTCATAATTATTACTATTAACATGACATCTGACATTAGTTGAGTCTGGTCAGCAGTGGATTAAACACTGCTGACTGCCCCCTTGAAGGTGAAGCTGCATCACTGACGACAGACCAGACATCCAAGCTAGGCAGACATTGTCCACAGTTGTGCATAACCCATACCAGGTCTCTCTCTCGTTAGCCTCCCAGGCAGACTGACAGACAGAGGACCACAGACATCAAATGGTTGCATATACTTCTTCCACCCTACAACCACAGCAATGAGCCAAAGCCACTATGTGCACTCCTATCCCATCTGACCTGATGCAGGGCAAGTGGATTGGGGGGGAGAAGTAGGGACAGAGTACAATAGGAAGTGGGTCTCAGATAATAACAGTACAGTGGGTGGAGTGTTTTAACCATGTTACCTTGGGTGAGATATGGTGAGGCCAGGTGCAGGTCAAGTGAGAGAGGCTGTAAAATTGAAAGACTTTATTTTACAGTTTCCTGAGGAGAAAAACAAGCCACACAGGGCCACCAGCAGAAGCACCAGGGTTTGTCACGAGGCTGAGAGTGCAGACCTGTGGTCAGATACGCAGGATTCCAGCAGAGTGACTAGCTTTGGAAGAGGCGCCCTGCATAGCTGTGTTGACTCTGCCTGTTGAGGTACGTGTTTGGGCCTAGCTAAGGTTTCCAGGTGCTTGTGGGTGATCATATTGACTCAAGTGCAGCTACAGGGCATCTGTGAGTGTTAAAGCATCATTTTAGAGAAACTGAGGACTTGGGAGATACAGAAACAAGAAACTAAATCTGCCCACAAAATCAAGAAAGGCTTCTGGGAGGAGGTGGCTGCTACTTTGATGGTGTTTTCCAGACTGAGGACAGGGAAGAGCTCTGCAGGTGGGGAGTCACCTGGGCAAAGGCACAGAGCACCAGAATCCACATAGCCGGTGACCTGCTCCAGGCCCTGCACCTGCTCCTCTGCCTCGCCCTTCTGGTTGTACTTCCACTGCCCTAGGCCTGGCCTTCTGGCCAATCAGGCTGAGCGGGCTGTGCAAACTGAGGGAGACCAGAAGCAGCACAGGGTCTCCCCTGCAGTTATGGAAGGGCCAGCCTTACAGCCAGCCTCCCAAAGCCACCTAATTGCACATAGTCCCATGTGGCCTCTACCCTCCGCATTGATGCACTTGCTGCTCTTCCTACCCCCTCTGGGTAGGAATTCAACCTGATTCTTCTCCTTCATCCCCGTTCCCTGCCTTGGGCTTGGTCAGGTCCTGCTGAACTAGGGACCCAGGAGGGAATGGAGAAACATAGGCCTTTCCTTCAGGGAACCCCCAGACCCCCAGAGAAGAGTGACAGGACACAGAGACATAGATTGAACTCTCAACAGACAGAATAGTGGCCACAAGAACCTGGTGAACAAAACCCACTGACATCAAGTCAATTCTGACTCATAGTGACCCTATAGGACAGAGTAGGACTGCCCCATAGGGTTTCCAAGGCTATAAACCTTTATGGAAGCAGACTGCTGCATCTTTCTCTCATGGAGCAGCTGGTGGATTTGAACTAGAGCTCCTTGCTTGGTGAACAGGAAGGGCAAAAAGAGTGCAGGCCAGATCAGAGAAAATCTTCCTGGAGGAAAGGAGCTAAAAAGGAAGGGTGTTCAGGAAAGAGCAACCAGCAGGAAGGCTATGTTGTTGTTGTTATGTGCTGTTGAGTCAGCCCCGACTCATAGTCCTTGGGTTTCTGAGGCAGTATCACTACAGGAGTAGATTGCCCAACCTTCCTTCTGAAGAGTGGCTGGTGGGTTTGAACCGCCAGCCTCCTGGTTAGCAGTCAAGTGCCTTAGGCACTATGCTACCAGAGTTCCCAGGAAGGCTATATAATGCCTCATAGTAATAGGTACAGGGTGATGAGGGATTAGGGTTAAATTTCAGTTTAAACATTGACTGTCAGCCTTCAGTGGCTCCTCCAGGGAAGCAGAGACATATGAGGGAGTTCCCATGACCTTCACCACGGGGGCACAGTTATTGACTTAACCACTAAGTATGCCTTCAGCCAGGTCATTTTCAATTGTCTCATTTGCATGTGAAAGCTGGACAATGAATAAGGAAGACCAAAGAAGACTGATGTCTTTGAATTATGGTGTTGGCAAAGAACATTGACTCTACCATGGACTGACAGAAGAACCAACAAATCTATCTTGGAAGATATACAGCCTGAATGCTCCTTAGAAGCAAAGGATGTCAACACTACATCTCACATACTTTGGATGTGTTATCAGAAGGGACAGATCCCTGGAGAAGGACATCATGCTTAGTAAAGTAGATGGTCAGCAAAAAAGAGGAAGACCTCAGGGAGGTGGATGGACACAGTGGCTGCAACAATGGGCTCAAGCGTAGCAACGATTGTGAGGGTGGTGAAGGACTGGGCAGTGTTTGGTTCTGTGAGTCAGAGCCCACTTGACAGCACCTAACAACAGCAACATGATGTCAGCTAGGGTGTGGGGTGGGGTGGGGGGGTTGTTGGGGGTTGCTGAGGGAAAGAGCAGCCTCCACATGCCCACCACTCGTCCTGCTCAGGGAATAGGGGATGTTAGAAATGACCTGTTCCCCCAGTACACCCATACCAATACCCCCTTCCCCTCCTGGACTCTTCACAGCCTCCTCTAGGATCATATCTCTTTCAGCCTGTACAGCCCAGGGGGCTAGTAACACACCTCCTCAAGGCCGGAACTGTCCTGGAGCCAGGGGCACCAAGAAAACAGCTGGGAACCCCACCCACTCCCCAAGCCCCCTTCATCATTGATGCAGTGTAAAGGGGGGAGCTCTCAGCCCCCACTCCACCCACTCTCCTAGGCTATTTACCACGTTCCTTTTCGTCCTTCCCATCCTCTTCCTGGCCTCTGGCCCCTCTTCTTCCTCCTGTTCCTTCTCCCCTCTTTTCAAGAAGCCCCTATGCTCTCCCCACTGGGCTAGAAAGTTCCAAGAGGTCCCATGTCTGAGTGCTGCCCAACCCTAGTCTGGGCAGTAGTGTTTTCTCTTGGCTTCAAGCAGAGGGAACTCCCGCCGCCAAGATTTGTTCCGGGGTCCTCAGGACTGACACATGTCTGAGGCCCCAGTCTTCTCTCCCCCTCTTCTCCCTCCTCCATTTTCCATCCTCCACAGACGCCATCCCCCACGAAGGAGAAGGAAAAGGAGACACAGACACACCTTCTTTTTCTATGACATTTGCTCTTTATTTTGGGACCAGGAGAAAACCATACACAGCCCTCCTGCCCAGGGACGGGGGGCACCAAGAAAGGGGCTGGGGACCCCACCCTGAACCCTCCCCAGAAGCAGCTGGAAGGGAGAGGGCTCCGGGGCCAGGGGTCAGGAGCAAATATGCAAATGAGGTCGGTGTAGTTGGCATATCTCCCAGAAGGCCCTGGGGCTCATCACCACATGTAGGCGCCTTCGGAGCTGTAGTGGAAAAGGAAAGGAACGGAGTCACTGGGGAGCCCACTCTCGGATCTGGAGAGTGGTGGTGCCAGCGTGAGGGTTCCACGGGCAGCAGGACAAGGTCAGGCTCCAGGGTGCAGGTGTGTGGCGGGCGGGGGCGCATTACCGAGACCTGATGGGCCGGTCCTCGCCATCCGGGAATAGCAGTTTCCAGAGGAGAACTTCAGGGCTGTCCCGTTTCCCATACCTGGGCGGGGCGAGATCAGATGAAGGCGAGGTCAAGTCAGGCCACGCCCCTGGGTGGAGCAGGGCGAAGCGCGGTAGCTCCCGAGCTCTCTACCCCACCCCCCTGGAGCATGTACTCACCGCTGCCGGGTCACCAGGTTGAGGTAGTGGCGCAAAGACGTATAGTAGCGGCTCAGCTCCTCGGGAGAGGCGTCCTCGCCGGGAGCCTCGGGTTTGGCGGGGTAGGCGTCAACCATCGTCCCCAGGCAGGCGAGCAAGACCAGCAGCATTGCAGCCATCGCGGACCACGGCCTGCACCCCGTCACCATCTGGGGAGGTGGCATTGGAGCACGAGTCACTGCGAGCCTCGATCCCCGACGGCTGGAGGCAGCCTGGAGGGTGCGATTGCCCCCAGGGGTCTCCTGGCTCGCTGTGTGCCCTCTGGCACCGCGCAGTTCCTGGCCTCAGTTTCTCTGCTGTCAGAATGCCAGAAGCCCTGCCTGCCGCGCGTGGAGGCTGATGGAGGGAGAGGGCCATGCTGGCCGCGGGGGCTCCTAGGTCCCTTTTCTTCCCACCTCTGCTGGCCCTCCTCCAATCCAGCTTCCCCACCACCCAGCATCAGCTTCCACCACCCGAGCCTCAGTTTCCCCGCAGAAAAGTCTGGGTGCCCCAGCGTCTGACCACCCCCGGTCCCCAGCACTTACAGCGACAGCTCCCCAAGCGGAGATGAGCAGGAGGTGGAAGGCAAGGAAGTCCCAAGAACTGGACTGCTGCAGATCAGCCACGGCCTCCTCTGCTGCTCGGTTTTCCCTGCCGGTCTTATATCCCCGCCTGGGAAGGGAGGGGGAAGGGGCCGAGGGGGATGGCCTTTCCTTCTCTCTCCATCCACCCCGCCCCTTCTCCGAGTTTACTCGCAACCAGTGTGTGACGTCTCCACCTCTTCAGGAGCTGTGGGGGGCAGCTGCCATGCTTAGTCTCAGGGTCCCACTGGATGAGGTGCCTAGCTTGAACCCTCTCTTCATCCCACAGCCTCTCAATGGCTAGTCTAGCCTCCTGAGGAAGTGTGGCATCTGGACTCAGACTGTTGGCACAGCGCCTAGGACCAGGGATGAGCTTCCTCCATCCTCCTTAACCTGGGTACCACCAACCTGTGACTACCCCTTTCCAGCCCGTGTAGTAATACCTTGAAGAAGGGTGGAGAAGTGGACCAGGACCTGTGAGGAAAGTTTCTAGTGAAGGCAGGAATGAGAACATTTGACCTCTCACCCCTGGCCTGCTGTTTATGATGTCCTCTCTGGACACCCCATTGTGTCCTCTCTGAGTTAAAGAGTTGAGGACAGAGGTGGGAGGAGGCAAAAGCCAGTCCCCTACCCAGAGCAGCTTAGTCAGTCACCAGCGTCCAACCTGGCACATGCAGACTGGGGTCTAGCCAGGCCTGGCACACAGTCCCCTCTTGAAGCAGTGTGCTCCCACCCCCATACAGGTGTCATTCAGGGAGTCTTTGGGTGCTGGGTGATACCAGGGCTGCCAAAGCACCCACCACTGTGCCAGCCCAAGCAGTCTTCACTGGGCCTTAGAAGAAAAAAGGAAAGGACCAAACCAAACTCACTGGGATTCCGACTCATAGCAACCCCCACTGGGTTTCTGAGGCAGTAAATCTTTATGGAAGTAGAAAGCCCATCTTCTTTCCACAGAGAAGTTCGTAAGTTTGAAATGCCAGCCTTCTGGTTAGAAGTCAAATGCCTTAGGCACTGAGCCACCAGAGCTCCTTAAGGAAAGGACAGTGTGATCTCAGACACTACTGACGGACTGAGTTTATCCCCATGTTCCAGAGGAAGAACCAGAAGCTCTAAGAGGTGAGGTCACTCAGGATCCAAACAAGAGAAAAGATGTTGGGTACGCCCCAGGAAGAGACCTTCTCGATCATGGGGTGTAGAAAGACGCAGCACCAAGAGTAACCATGGAGCCTCAGGAGTCAGGTATGAGAACTGCGGGGGGAGAGGCCAAGTCTGGGGCCTGCCACTCCTTCTGAGAGAGCCAGATAGCAGAGGGGCTTCCAGACTGCCAACCCCATTGGGCCCACTTGCCTACACTAGGAGACAGAGGGCTGTTGGGGAGTATCCCAACAGCACCCCTTTCCCTGCCTGACCAGATCCTCCAGGGCTTCCAGGCATCCCAGCAGCCCTTGCAGGTAGAGAGGCCATTTTATCCAGACCTGATTCTGGGCCAGCCCCTCCACCCTCCAGGACAGATGGCAGAGGGTGCTATTTTTAGAGCTCTCCTGAGACGAGAGAGCCCAGTGCTACTCAATCATCTTTTTATGGGTTCAATCACCTGCACTCTCTGGAAATGACTCCTTATCAGCCATTCAGCCTTCATTAGCCCTGAACCTAGTGAGAAAGGCCAGGGCCCTTTGCTGAGGATGGAAGACAAAAGTATAGTGGGACATGGACCCTTCCTTGGAGGGAGAGAAAAAATTCTTCCTCCTCAGGGACCCTTAGTCTGAGGGGCAAGGCACAGCCTTGTTCTTCCAGGATCTCAGCCTAAGAGGAGAGTCATGGCCATGTTCTTGGGGATCTCCAGTCTGAGTATCACTGGGGAACCCCAATCTGAGGGGACTCCACCATCCTGGAAGAGCCCCAGTCTGAAGAGGTTTCCACAACACAGAAACAGAGACACACAGAGAGACAAGCCTGGGTCCAGTTTGGAGGAGACAGTGGAAATAAAAGCAGTCCCAAGAGCTCACCTAGGGATGGAGAGGGCAGTTGAAGGGCAGGTTGTAATCCCAAGGCCAAGGTCTAGACAAAGACCCTCAGGCTCCAGGGGGTGAGGATATGAGACTGGTAGGTGGTGAGGTTTGCATTTTTAACACAGCAGCACTAGTTAGGGAAGTGGCTTCCAGTGTACTTATGTAGTAGAGAAAGAGGAGGGAATCTGTGGTGTCCTTGGAAGCCCTCATGCCCAGGGAAGTGTCCAAGGGTTGATGGGCGAAAGGAGAAAGAGTGGAGAAACTAGAATGCATAGAGGAAGGCTTATATTCAAGGTCAACCTCTGAAGACGTCTTCTCACCTTCTCTTACCTTTAGCATGAAAGTAAACAGGATCCTGGTCCCTGAATGTGAACCAGGAGCCAACCACCCACAGCCTCACAAACTCTCCCTATCCATCACACCTCTCCAATTTACTCCCCAATTACAGGGCAAGCTGATGGGTTCATTAATCACCACCTCTTCATTAGGGCCCTTATTAACTTGTTGATTAGTGGGGAGCATGTCTCAGCCCTCGATCAATGGTTTCAGCTATCCCCCACCTACATACCCACCACCACCATTGATGTGTGACTCAACTGCTATGAGCCATGTCTGGGGAGTAGAGGGAGTGGGGTGGGGGTGGGGGGCTGACAACTATGAAGGGAGAAACTTCAGAAATCAGTTATAATTGTAGACTTGAGACAAGGACCTGCCTCCAACTTGCTCTTAAAGGGTAGGGGATAGAAACAGTATGATTAGTTCCCTTGGTCCCTGTTCTCAGAGGTCGATTGGGGGGGGGGGGCATGGACCTGGATCCCAGGAGACCATTCTTCTTGCCCAGTGGGTTCAAGGGCCATTCATCAAGATAGGGTGTCCCATGCCATTCATCCTCAAGGCTTAGCTTTCTGTATCCTACCACCCATTCACCCTGGGCCTCTCTGGGATGCATCCTGCACTGGCCAGCACTGGTCTACTGCCTTCCACTCTCAGACCAGCCATCATGTCCAAGGTCCTATGTGCCATAGACAGCAGGTTGCCACACGGTAAGAGTGATTCAATTCTCATTCAAGAAGCACGTATTAAGTGACTACTATGTTCCAGGTGAAGGAGCCCTGGAGGCACAGTGGTTAAGTGCTTGGCTGTTAACCAAAGGTTGGCACTTCAAACCCACTAGCAGCTTTGTGGGAGATAAGACCTGGTAATTTGCTCCTATAAAGATTATAGCCTAGGAAAACCTGTGGGGCATTTCTACTCAACAACATGCACATTTTGTCACAAGCATAAATGTCCTCTTACTTAAAAACACCTTGGCTCTTTGCAGAGAATTAAGAATAACCAGTTGACACCATTGAAAAGTGGTCACTTCCCTCCAAAGGAATATCAGCCATATTTAAGGAAGCTCTGTCATCTCCTTGAACAAATGGTAGGCTCAAGCATGCTCTATGTGTCCTGATCTGTAATCACGTGCAAAGCACTATGGAGAGCAAGTGGGACCATGGCGAAGTGAGTGAGGTCAATGGGAATTGTCCAAATTGTGTTCTACTGTGGACTCTGCTTGTATCTGAGGAGTGAGCTTGAGAGGCAATGATGCCAAGGAAGATGAGATTTCCCCTTTTCATGGTTAGAGTTCTCCCATCAAACTTCCCTTTTCCTGACACTGTGGGTCTTTCTGTAAAACACAGTGACAGATATCCGTGGCATGGTGCATGCTCAAGACTCAGACATCTCTCTAGAACAAGGATCAGCAAACAAACTTCTTCTGTAAAGAGCCAAATGGTAAATATTTTTAGGCTTTGTCACAACTGCTCAACTCTGTCATTGCAGTACAAAAACAGTCATGGAACAATACAAAAATGAATGTGTATGGCTGTTGTCCAATAAAACTTTATTCATTAACATTAAAGTTTGGATTTCCTATAATTTTCACATCATGAAATATTCTTCTTCTTCTAATATTTTTCAACAATTTAAAAATGTAAAACCATTCTTAGCTCATGGGACCAACAGAAATAGGCCCATGGGTCATAGTTTGCTGACCCCAGTCTGCTCCTTTCAGGCTGAGTTGTCTATTTACCTAGAGTGAGTTGGGTGTGTTCCCAAGCTTGTTTGTGTGAGATGTACTTGTCATTGTAATTATATTGTTGTTGTTATGTGCCATCTAGTCAGCCCCAACTCTAGAGACCCCTCCTTGTGTTTCTGAAGTGGTATCACTGCGGAAGTAGATTGCCCAACCTTCCTTCTGAGGAGTGGCTGGTGGGTTTGAACGGCTAGCCTTCTGGTTAACAGTCAAGTGCCTTAGGCACTACACTACCAGGCCATCCTTGTAATTATATAGTTCAATTAAATATTATATAAACTGATAAAACATAAATGCAAAAAAGAGTGATTTCCTTGAAAATTGAGTTGAATGCTTTGGAAAGATTGAACAAAGAGAAGCACTGAAGTGTTGGGTTCATTGTGAAAGATAACTATGCAATTGTTAGGGAAAATCCTAAGAATATAGAAGGATTCCAAGATGGAGTAAGTAAGATACAATACTGCATCATCAATGATAACAAACATTAATCTACTGGGGAATAG